GAAAGACTTTCTTAAGAGGGAAAAGATCTGAACCTTTTTCCTCACTTCTCCAGATAGGCGATGCTGAGAATCAGGAGGCCCCAAAGTAGGCCCTTAGGTGTTCCATTTGGTCTTTTTTCTTAATTGTGTGACGATGCTTAGGCAAATCTGTGCTGATAGTGCTGCTGCGTTAGATAAAGACTGCTCTTCTGGTCCTGTCTGCTGTGCCCGAATCTCCTCAAGTTAAACAACCATGTAAATGTGCACCTCATCCCTGGAATGGCAGACCAAGCCAATACAAGTTGTACTGCAGTGCACGTTACTGACTGTAGACAGCTGATCTCTCCTTTGTGCATAGATGACTTTCCCAGCAAAGTCACCCCCTCTTGATCCCTGTGGTAGGTGGATCCATCACTCTACAATCTTTGTTCTTTGATCTTCTGTTAATAAGGTAATTACTATGCTGATGATAGCCCACATCAATTCTTAGAGCATTCATTTGGTGCTGTATGAGAAATAGCTGTACAGTAGAGCTTTCCACTGTAAAGACACTGAATTGGTGCCACAGGAGCTGCTGACTCCTGGTGAAGGTTTCTGAGCAATGCTCAAGGTTATTGCAGAGGCTGGAGCATACAGTGCTAAAGGCAGCAGCTGGGATTTCTTCCTTCCTTTTGGAACAAGAAACAACACAGTATTTTGTTGAGGTGATCACCTGCAGAAGCTGAAGAGCTCAACTGATCTTGCAAGCAGATAATCACATAGGTAGCTTTATTTTTTTTGTGCATGTGTGCACATCTTTCTGGTCACAGGCTAGTTTTGTTAGCTTTGCCCAGGGGCTGTGTGAGTAGCAGATGTGAATGTAGAGTAGGTCCTTGTGCTTGTTGCTCTTGGCTGAGGAAGGCCATGATGCGGTGCTGGAATGTGGGGGCTTAGGGATAGCAGCTGCTTTTCAATTCCTCTGCCAAGCTGTGTGTGTGTGTGCTTCTTGATTTTTTTTTTTTTCCTCATTTTCATAACTATTTACTATGCCACTTGTTGATAAACTATGTGTAGCAGGCAATGAAACTCCTACCTGTACAGGAAAAGCATTAGGAGCATTTTTCCTGCACTCGGTAATGTAAAGGTCCACAAAAAGGAGCATATTGAAGTTGGCACTATCTAAACAGGAGCAGAGATATGAGCGTGATCCAAAAGATAAGGGGAAGGTAAACTTTTACCTTAAAGCTCTGAGGGGCCAGTCAAAGGAAGAAGTGAAGAGCTTGCTTATTGTGTCAGTTAGGCATGTGTAGTGAACATCTGGTGTTTTTCAGTCTCTTAGAGTCCACAATAACAAGTGGCGTAGGCCACTGCTCTCTTACTGGTAGTATGAACAACAGTAACAATCAGGTTTACCTGGCCCTTTTGTTCTGAACTTCAGAACATCAGCTGTTAATAAATAGCAACTTTAACGATCCAGGTAGTACTTGGCTTACCTGTAGAGGTGGCCAAGGTTTTTCTCCCTGCCTTGCTCTGATCAGATGTCAGGCATAGGGTGGTGTGTTTGTCTCCTGCTCCCCAGCCAGAGATAGGGATGGGGCCCCTCTGAAAGCATGATCCCAGATCCCAGGGAGGTATGGGGGGGACATGTAAGCTGTCCCTAACGTGATGAGCAAACATCATGAGAAGTTGTGCTCTGCTGTGCTATCCAACTGGGAGCTCAGTGTTCTTTTCTTACCCTAGGTACTGCAACGTTGGGGGGAGGGATCTGTTTGTGAGGATGGTGTCTGTGAAGCCCCAGATGGATGCTAAGCTCATATCCTTGCCTTCATTTTGATAAAAGTTAAGGAACTCACAGGTGTTGATGCTTGATTTGCTGATGTTTGGAGGCTGCTACAGAAATGAAAATTAGCATTTGGTTCCTAATCAAATCTTGCTCAGCTCTGAGGTATGCAAACTAATGAAGTGCCAATACACGTGAAGCTGGGTGAATAAACTGATAGCACAGTGTGAGTTCCCAAAGTTCACAGTTCTCATTTCTTTCTTCTGCTTTGACTGTGTCGGGTGTTGAGGCATGTGACTGAGGAGCAGGTACAGAACTTGCCTGAGCCACGGTGCTTAGGAGGAAAGCACAATGATTTCTAGTATGAGGAGTCACAACATCTGTTTGTAACCTTTGTCACAAGTGGAACAAATTATAAAATGGTAAATGCAGTTACTCTGCCAGTTGGCATATGCTCAATTTCACAAAGCGTGCCAGTTAGATTCAATACAAATGTTTCCTCAGAAAGATCACCTTGATTTAATTCTTTTTCAGATGCGTAAAGTAGAAATGGTCTGAAGCGTTCTGTTTGTCCTTTAAAGACTGCTATATTTCTAGCTCTTGGCAGACACTGTCCACAAGTACTTCATGTTCCACTGGGCTTATGCCAAATTTAATGTACTGTGTGTACTGAAAGCATCAAAACCAGAGTGACTTCAATTTTAGATTTTCCAGCTACCATTATTGATATTTCTTAGATCTGTTCCATCCAGCCTATCAGTTTAATTTCTTTTTCCTCTGGGAATTTGTGGGAGGATCTTGCCAGTGTTTATTTGCCTGTCTAGGGACTACTGATGTGAGTGAGTGCCGTGGATCAGGCATCTCTGCAGAGGCCAAACTCTCCATCTATGGGAGCTAAATCAGCACACTGAAATGTTTTTGAGCTCCTGACTTTAGCAGTGACAGGCACGCTGTGAGCAAGAATAACGTTATAAGCAAAGTCCTTCAGCTGTTCTTCAAGGAACTTGAATTTGGTAAAAATCTGAGGTGAGAAAGGACTTACTGTCAGCTAACCTTAGTCCACACAGTACCAAAAATTGTGGGTTTCTATTTCGCAGTGCTCCTATGCTGTACAGATCCAAGCCTGTAAGATGTCAGACTCTGAAGAGACAAAAGAAATGAGGTAAGGGAGAGAAACAGAGCAAGTAGAAGCTGTGGTAGTAGACAAGGAGAGGAAGGAAATAACTGGGAGAAGGAATGGGGCACGGTGCAAAACAGCCAACCAGCATGGCTTGGTTTGTTCATAGTACCACAGTCATCAGGTCTGCTGATTCCTGCCTGACAGCTGTGTCTGTTGGCTTCATATTTTGGCTGTTCATCTTTTATTTTCAACCCTCAGGGCCAAGTAGCTGCGCATAAGCATGGCTTCTGGCCAGGTGGCTCATCGCCCTCAGAGCAAAGCAGGATTCCCTTCTATTATGCTGATGTGGAAGAGCGTGGCACTCAACAGAGCCTGGTGTTTCCCCCTCCCCCTCTTATAGTTTTCCTGTGCCTCTTATTATTAAATGCTGATCTGTTCTGGTTTGCAACTGCACCCTCTGTTAGTGCTGCTAGAGCAGAGTTCGCTTAGTTCTTCAAAGATGCCTGAAACTGGGAAGAGAGGGAGGGGTCTCTTGTTGCAGAGGGATTTGAAATCCCAAGCAGTTCTGTGTTCCTCATTAATACTTGACATATGTGGGAATTACTCGTTAGTCCTCCTGGCACCCAGTGGTTTTTGTTAGGCCTGACTTCTTTGCCTAGTTTCAGTTGTTTGGTGTTCACACACAGCTTGTAGTTCAGTGCCTGCTCCCAGATAGGAGTGTAGCAAAGACAAACTGAAAAGTTGTCCTATAGAAAGAAAGTACAAGGCATGACTAAACAGTCAAAGCACAAAAAATGACTAAGGACAGAATCAAAAAGCTGTTGCAAACCTGCTTTTGTATCCAAGACGAAATTGAAAGTTTTTAGTTTATTGCAGTTACTGTGCTTATTTTCAAACTAATTTTCAAATGTTCTTTGTATAAAGAGAGTATTTTGTGTGTTGGTTTTTTGTTGTACCAAGTCATCTTTTTGCTAGCTTTTGTTACACAAAGGAGCAAAACAATGTAAATAAAAGGGTGCGTGTAAAGAAAACAAGAATCAACTTCAAGGTGAAGAATAGGAGTGGCTATGTTTCCTTGCTTTTTCAAGATTAAACATAGCTTTTAAATGCTTCTGAAGAACAAACTGCTTCCTGTCGTCTCATTATTAAGTAGTGCATTCATTTAAAAAAACCCAGGCACTAATTTTGTTCTTTTTTGGAAATGAAAGTACGGTCAGCTACATAGAGATCTCTATTCCTGTCTGTTTACAGACACGTACGTGAAATGCAGTGAATCCAATTGAGGAATAATAGGTCTGGGCTTCAATCTGTGAACACCATAACGTGGCTGTGCGAAAATGTTGCCTAAATGCAAGGCAATGTACTTTATGCTGTCTTGAAATTGATTAACCACAGGTTGAAATCGTGCTGTATGTCAGCTGTAACCTGGTGCAGGCATTCCTACAGAATAGGTGAGGAGGATAGGTGGTAAATAATAGTTCTGTGATGCAGTGCTCCTGTCCTTGCACACAGGGCTTGTATCTCTGTACTAGTGACCAGGTTCCCAATGAGTAGGAGCAGTTTGGGAAAGAATCTTGGGAGATCATCTAGTCCAGCCCCTTCTGCTCCCCCCGCTCAAAGCAGTTTGAAGTTGAAGCCAGCACTTTAATCTTTTCATTTTGAATAGTCTTCGACAGCATACAAACAGCATACATTGTCCACTGGCATTACTACCAATCTCCTGTCAATATATAACTTAGAATTACTCAGTATCACTCCAGAATTTTGTGCTTTTTTTTTTTTTTTTTTTTTTTTCTGGTAAGTCTTGAGCATGCTTGAACAGACTGGTATCTGAATTCACTGAAAAATTTTGGACAACTGAATGTTTGAGCTGCTGCGCGCTAGGAATATCGATTGGGTGTAACATATGCCATGTTCAAAGAAATGCTATGAACAGAAGAATTCCTTTCCTCAAAATGTCTATTTGTTCAGACATTGAGCCAACCAATAAGTCTCTGCGTACCCATTCTTCTTTACAGTGGCTGGAGCAACAGATTTCCTGGCTCTGCCTCCTCCAGCCGACTGTTCTCAAATGGTGATGCTGTTTGGTGCTAATGTGGATGGGGCTTAACCATATGGTCTCGCTCTCACTTTCTCTCGCAGTGTTGAAAAATCTTGTCCTGTCTACACTAGCAGCTAACTGATCTGCACCCATTGTTGACAGCCACCATCATCAACAGGTCATTTTCCCTCTGCGAGCCTGGCTTTTGGTTATGTATCGTAAATCCAAGTGGAAGTGCGGTTACGATCTTGCGGTTCTTGGACACGGTGAGTTTACATCTGTACAGTTGCCATAAGAGAGCAAACGTTTCTTCTTGCATCTGAACTTCCATACATGAAAATCTTGAAGAGAAAGGTAACTACAGCTAACTATCATCTACATTCCCTGAAGATGTCCCTTTTATTTAGCTCTTCAGATTTTAGGGTTACTTGCTAGAAGTGCAAGTGTAGAACATTACAAACTATTAGTGCTGTCTTGCTGTTACTGACCATAACTATATTTGTTCCCTAAACGCTGCCTTTTTAAACTGGGTGGAGAAGAAGTGCCTTAAGTTATTTATGACTGTCTCCTTACACTGACTGCCCCAGCTTTTATAAAACTGCTGACAAGAGATCTGACTGTTAAGCTCTACCAAGCCATATTCCCTCATTCCCTAACATTGAATTTCTACTGAAGACTGTTTCCAGGGGCTCTGAGTTGGTATAATATCACAGTGCCTGCTGGCTTGCTTCTCCCTCTTGTCTCCCTGGCCTGTTTGCATGCAGCCCCACTCCTGGGCTCTGAGATGTGCAGCCCTGCATGCTTCTTTGCTCTGGATCTGCTGACCACAACCTTCTAGCAAGGAGGAGACATTTCTCACCAACCTCTTGGAAGACTCCTGTGATCAAATTCCTTTCTCAGAGGTTCCGGGAGCTGAATGTTGAGCTTTGTCATTAGTCTGACAGTATGCCCTTTTGATGTGGTAGACCTAAAATGTTTGTTTTGCTTTTAGTAGCTCTGTCACTGTATGTATGTGGCTCATTCTTTTTTTTTTTCACTCTCTTGTCTTTTGGATGACTGCTGCCACCTTGTTTGCACAAAAGCGATAGAGGAGGTGTTACGAGAACATCATCTTTTGCTTGCTTAGACCAGCTTTGATAGCAAAACTAAGTCTAGTGAAAGTGAGAATGCAAGCTCAAATCCAATGGGTGTGATTAATAACAAGACGACTTGGCGTATGACTTTGAAAATGTTTACAGTTTTACCTTACATGTTGGGGGATCAGAGCCGGTAGGCATGAGATGGTAATCATAATGATGTTTTTCACGATCAAAGGTATCATGACGTCAGTGGCTGCTATTTTTATGTAAACTGCCTAATTCCTGAAGCTGGTTGTGAGCAGTCAGTATAGGTGGTGAACAAGCTGGAACACTTTAAGTGTAGAAAACTCAATGTCATGACTTTTTTCAAATGGGTTGGACTTGATTAATGCTGTGTTGCACTTCCAGTTTCAGATCAGCTGTAGATTCCACCATGCCTCTGTTTTCTGTCAAGTTTCTCTTCCAAGGAAACTTTTATTTCACAATACTTGACAGTGCTGCTGTATTTGAAAGTGGAGCTTGTCAGATAATACGGTGTGATCTAGAGCTTTAAAAGCACTGTAGCTAGTGGAACTTTGTTTTATCAGTTCAAAAGCTTCATCTATTAGTAAAGGAATAGTCTCTAACAAGACAGAATGGGTCAGAGAACATGCATAGTGCCTATAAGCCAGTGTACTTGCAACAAACTTAGCAAGACTCTGCTTCCATAAGAGATGTGGAATACAGTTGTTAGTGAAGCTGAGTGCTGGAGAATCTCAAAGGTTCCTGGCTTCTGAGTGCTTCATCTCTTCAGTCAAACAGTGCACGACTGAAGTACTGTAGCTGGCACTGAGAGCTGTCTCTGCTCCGTAGCCGTCCTGAACGTCTGGGGGTTATCCAAAATCAGAGTGGTGAATTAAATTATGTGTTCAGCCCAGATCTGCTCTAGTGCAGTCTTGCTTGGGCAGGCTGATAGTCATCTTGCTTAAGCCGGTTAATTCAGTTGGCTCCAATGGAGCTGAATACTTACGTGCAATACTTAGTTGCAGGTAATAAATATGACTTGGATATCAGGTTTGGTGAGGTGACCAGGCAGGTGAACAAGAGCAGAAGTAGGAGTCTAATTCCTTTTCCTTGCTAAGTATGCTTTTACTTTTTTTTTTTTTTTTTTTTTTTTTTTTGGCATAATATACTGAGAAACAAAGTCCTGCTGCTCAGTTCAATTGATTGTTTGCAGATGAGCTGCAAACCTCGGTTTTATTTTCGTGAAACATTGTGAAGGCTTAATGTAATAACAAAAAGAGAGAAAGAACTCAGTCTGTTGCTACATTACTGTGCCAGGAAATGGCCTTTCTTCTCTGACCAGTTGTGTAGCTGCTCCAGCCATGGCGTGATGTAGCTGTACTTTTTTAATGGTGGCTTTGTTTAGGTTATCCTTTTAACCAATGGTTTTGGCATGCTTCAAAAAAAAAAAAGCAAGAAAACACTTATCCTTTAGGGGATCTTGCTGCAATATTCTGCTTTGGCTAAACTTAAGGACTGCAAACATTTATACAAATTTAATGGGCAAGTCTTCATGTGTGCCACAGTGAAAGCCATCCGAAGTGTGTTGAGTTTGCAAGTAGTTATTCACAGGGCTGAAGCTTTGCCAAGGGATAGCACCTTCTGTATGTTAGAATAGTTTCAGGTTGTTCTGTGCATTTCTGGCTGGAATGATTCCTACCTGTAGTAGAGGACATGAGTTCTCTACTGCATTTTATTAATCTTTATATTTTTAACTTTTATTCTTGCAAGTAAATATAAATCTGTCAGTCTCGAGCATATATGGGCAAAGTCATATAGCTTTGGGGATGCAGTTTGCAGCCTTTTTTATCCAGTTTTTCTACTCTACAGGTAGACTTCTATGTAAGTATTTGTTTCTCATTTGTAATATGAGATAGGCACTTAGTTTCATTTTAAATGTGATAACAATGGTACAGCTATATACATGATGTCTCTAAGCTCTTTCTCACTGCTATTAAAGCAAAATTTCAAGATGAAAGTGTAGAGTTGCAGATTGGTTTTAGGACAAAGACTTACTTGAATATAGAATTTTCCTCTATTTACCCCTTTCTATTGGCTTTTTTTTTTTTTTTTTAACAATTAAAATGAAATTTCTCCCTTACAAACAGGAAAAAAAGACTTGAACAGGGCTGCAAATAAATAAACTAATGATTGGAGCTGATACGTTGGTTTTGTAGTATTCCTTAGGATGGGTATTATTTCCATGTTGGTGCCCTGCTGATCTGGCATCTTTTTGTCCCAGCAGTGCTGTGTACAGGCAAGAACTGCACAGTATGAACAAGGCTATAGGAGGGTTAACCTGTGACAGCACTGTATTTATTTGTGTAGTTTAGACTTTGTGCCTGGGACACGTAATTCACACGCTTCCTTCAGTAAAATGCTGAAGGTGCAGAATGACTTCAGACTTTCAACTACAACAGTGACTGTGATGCCAGAGAAAGTCATCTTTGCTTTGTTTAGAGAAGATATGTTACTTTTACAACTGGCTTTAAGGTTGCCAAAGCCTGCTAAGTCTGAGTAGTGACTTCCTAATGTGTGTGATGTGGCTGCTGTGGCTGTCTGTACCTCTGCCTTACAGCATTCTGCTTCTCTGTGCATGGCTGACACGGCATCCCCTAAGTAGCAGAGTAACTAATAAAGCTTGCAAACTGTGAGCAGGACTTCTGCAAACCTTTATGAGTGCACGTGACTGAAGCACTGATGTGCTCCATGTGAACAGCTGTTAGAGATTTGAAGAGAAATTCATGAACAATGTCAGTCCTGAGGGGGCTGGTCTGTCCTGAAGAACTTGCAAAGAGTTATTTCTGAAGAGCCAGATTTCTGGCAATTAAGCAGTCTGTACTTAAACAGCTGGCTATTAAAAGACAAGTGAAATAGCTCTTCCATACTAAAAAAGGCTAATGCTTCAAAAGCAGGACTTAACGTTTCTTTGGTATACTTGAGGACAGATGCCCAAGCAATAACGTATCAGATGCTGATATGAATTTCTGAGGTGCACACAGGGTCAAAGTTGAGTCTTCTTCCTTCCTGAACCTTGAGAAACAGCTTGAGAGAAGTCTGTAGTATATTAACAAATCATTTTGGTTCATAAATGACTGGTTGCTGTAAGCCATATGAAATTGTTTCCAAACTCTGTAAAGTACTGCTGTGTCAACTGTTACCAGTTATAAATGACCTGGTCAGATTTCTGCCAAAACTGCAGCTCGTTGTGGCTCTTTTTGGTGCATTTGCTCTGCAGTTTTGCCTGAATGCAAAGGCTTTTCTGTGAGAGAGAGCGAGTAATCCTGCACTGCTTACAGTCCTCCTCTCAAAGCATGCATGTATCTTGTAAAACCAAAGCCATTGCTAGAAGTGAATTTGCCAATGTAAGGTATTTTGCATTTGTCTCTGTGTGTCTGAGTAATGCACGAAAAGGTAAAGAGATGTGAGTTTTCTTTCATGGATGATCTTATTCAGACCTGTAGCCTAATCTGTAACTGCTCAACTGCAACTGGTGTGAGGCTTCTTTAGGCAAATCTGAAGTATCCAGAGTGTTAGCTAGGATGCAGCTTTAACATGCATTTCTTGTGGTGGTGGGGTTTGGTTGTTTTTTGTTTTTTTTTCCAGAAGACTTTCTTGAGTTGTGTTGCTTGAAAACATTTTGTGGGAGATAGGTAAACCTGCATTGGATGATGAGAAATATACCGAGCTTGTGTCCCCAGATCTCAGTTCCACAAATATTTCCAGTTTCTAGGCCATTTGTTGTATGTTTGCTTTCAGACAGAATTCCACTGTCTTCAGGTGATCAAAGAAGAACTTGTTTGTCTTCAGGAGCGCCTTCCTCACTGGTAGAATTAAGAAGAGTCAAATTGCTGTCTCGCTAATGTAATTTCATCAGAGTGAGTGATGTGACTGGCCATCCTGCTAAATGCAAGGGCAGGCCACGAGGCTGCCTGCTGAATAGTTAGATGCTGTGTAGCTATGAGTGCACGCTGACTGCTGCTGGGAAGCGTTCTGGGTGCTTCTGAAAAACAGGTCCTGTGTGCCCCAAACACTTGAAAATATTTTGCCCTTTGAGGACTTACTGGTGAGTGTGCTAACTCAAAAGAAAGCACTTGCCTTATTCAGCTGGATAGTCTCTTTTATTTGAAGGTCACGTTTTTCTT